CACAGCATCTGGTATGGAATGAGACACGGAAATTAACTCAGGTACGGACAGCTTTGCAGAAAATATGCCATTTAAGTGGAGGTTTCACGTGAGGTGGGGCAGGTGAATGAGTCAAATGGCGGGGAAGAGCATTCCAGGAGACAAAAGTTGTGAAGGCTGTGGCAGGACAGATGCAGGAGTGCTGGGGAAGAGGTCCTGGGGGAGAGGTGGGGTGTGGAGGGATGGAGCAGACAGAGCCCTGGGGAGAGAGGCAGGGCAAGACCACTCAGGACTGCAGGTGGGGTAGGGAGTTTCCATTTCATCCTGAAAGCAAAAGGAAAGCATTGAAAGCTTCTAAGAGGAGAAACAACATGATCCATATTTACATGTGTAAAGACGATCACTCTGGCTACATGATTGAGAACGGGCTGGAACACAGCAAGGGAGATGGTAGAGGGGACTCTTAGCAGTTTTAAAGCAAAGGATGCAGGTGGCAGGGACTAGAATGGCAGCAGTGGAGAAGGGGAGAGCTTGTTGGCAGAAGTTGAAGTTATAAAGAAGATACTCATTATTTTAATCTTCACAATGACCCTGTGAGGGAGATGGAGTGACTGCATTTTAAAGATGGGAATTTGAGAATACTGGTTCATGTCCCACGGATGAAAAGAGGCAGAGCCATGTCTGAGATTCAGGCAACTTCCCAGCCTCAACTCTTTCAGGAAACCCTCCCATATTTAGCTGCAGTTTATCGTGTCTTTCTTCTCCCAAAGCTGGGATAATCTGAAACACTCAGTTCAATAACTTTGTCTTCCAAAATCTTCTAACATCTGAAACAGTCTGAACTGCAGTGCAGGGTCCCTAAGAATAATTTCACCATGCTGATCGAGTTGCTTTTGAGCATTCCTCTTAAATCTCTACTTAGAGATTGAAAAAGTGAGACTCAGAGATCAGCAGGGACTTGGCCAAGGTCACACAAAAACGTTGTGGCAAAGCCAGGACTGAAAATCACTGTTTCTGTCACACACAGACGGCCCCAAAGACTCGACTTCCTTCTGAGTACTTCAAAATGATGAAGTTGAATGTCTTTATCAAAGCCCACATGCCCCGAGATTTGGGAAACACAGCTCAGCTCCTACTTTGCAGATAGACCTGAAATGGTTATAGTGAATTCATATGGAGTCCCAAAGGATATTAGATGACCATTGTCAACTAGCACAAGGAACTGCCTTTCCTGGTACTTTTATCTCTTTCTTCCCTCACCTCCTTGCACTTCATCATCTCTTCTGTGTCACAGCTGGGCGGGCTCACACACACCCCTGGGCAGACCGCAGGGAACTGCTGAGTCATTGCCTTTGCTAAAGAGGAGCTGAAATGGTGATGGCAGAGGAACAGGAGAGGACTGGGATGTTACAGGTCCAGGCAGGCCTGGGGGTGTAGGGAAGAAAGAACCCATCAGAATAGCCAAAGGGGACAACAGAACCATTCTAGTGTCACAGTTAGACCCTAAAGGAGAGAAACAGGAAAGGGGAGTGGCACTGGACATGGGGGAGGTAAACAGGGTGCAAAGGAAGCTGGAGCTGGAAGCCAGGTACATCCCAATAACAGGAGATTCTCAGAAATATGCACCATGTCCCATTCACATACAAGTAAGAAGAGATCTCAGAGATCAAATTGAATTGGCTCTCACTCGTCCACTCTCCCATGTTTCAGATTAAAAAACAGATCTGGATAACAAAAGAGACTTTACTAAGGTCACACAGCGAGTTGGTAGCAGATCTGAGACTCCCTTCCTGTCCCCATAGTAAATCCTTCTCAGCAACTTCACTCTGCCACAACTTCTCTCCCTCCCTACCTCTACCTGAATGCTTCACAGATATCAAGTAATTTTAATCTTTAGAACAACTCTCTATGCTTTAATCTTAATATCCTCATTTTACAACTTAGGGAATTGATGCACAGAGACATTACGTTCCATGATTAATATGGCATTGCCAGTAAGTGGGGGGGCTGGGATTTGAACCCACGTAACCCACCACCAGAATCTATGCTTTTAGTACTATGCTCTGTGTCAGGCCTCTGAGCCCAAGCTAAGCCATCAAATCCCCAGTGACCTACACGTATACATCCAGATGGCCTGAAGCAACTGAAGATCCACAGAAGTGAAAATAGCCTTAACTGATGACATTCCACCATTGTGATTTGTTTCTGCCCCACCCTAACTGATCAATGTACTTTGTAATCTCCCTCACCCTTAAGAAGGTTCTTTGTAATTCTCCCCACCCTTGAGAATGTACTTTGTGAGATCCACTCCCTGCCCCCAAAACATTGCTCTTAACTCCACTGCCTATCCCAAAACCTATAAGAACTAATGATAATCTACCACTCTTTGCTGACTCCTTTTTCGGACTCAGCCTGCCTGCACCCAGGTGAAATAAACAGCCATGTTGCTCACACAAAGCCTGTTTGGTGATCTCTTCACACGACACGTGAAACACTCTGTTGCTCTTATGTCACCAAGGGCTCCTGGACCTCCCTTGGCTCACCTCTGTCCTGTGCATTTTTCCCATTAAGTCAGTGAGTGCTGAAGGCACCCTTACTCCTGCCCAAAGTATATGAAAGAGAAACAACGGATCACAGCCCTTTCATGAGGAATTCTGGTACTTGCAGACTGGGACATTGGGTTCTAAGTTCATTTGCCTAGAACAAAGATGTTGCAGAACCAAATTCACTCTCTGTATTCAACAACAAAAAATTGTGGCAGCTGCGGCAGCAATAGCAAAAACCTAACAACATCAAACACAGTATTAAGAATGCTCTCCCTGTGATCCTGCAAAAAGGGTAGGGTAATTTATGCTCACTGAATCTAAGCATTCAATTCCTTCCATATTCTCTCAATTCCCCTCCTTGTTGTCTCCTTTTCTCTTAGCATTTATCACCATGTAATAGATTTGAATTTTGATATAATACAAACCCCACAAGAGTAGGAATTTTAAATTGTTGCTTGGTTTGTGTCCCCAGTGCCTAGAAGAGTAGCAGGCATGTAGTTGGTGCAGAACAAATATTTGTGGTATGTATGAAAGGGAGAAAGAAAGGGAGGGAGGGAGGGAGGAAGGCAGGCAAGGGAGAAAGGAGGGGAGACAAGGGAAGGGGAGAGAAGAGGAGAGCACAGGAGAGGAGAGGAGAGTAAAAAAGGAGGGAGGGAAGAAGGGAGGGAGAGAGGAAGGAAAGAATGAAGGGATGGAAGGAGAGAGAAAGAAAGGAGGCGCTGGGTTAAATCCTTCATCTTGGGGCCTGTAGCTTGCTTTAGCTTTTCTAAGTTGAACACCAATTTATGGGGGGCATGCTCAGTGATAGATGTTTTTCCAATTATCTATAAATAGCCCAGGCCTGCTGAGGGGACCCATTGACTTCCCCAGCCCTAATTCTGGCTGCTGGATTGTGTGAGGGAGAAGACCAGTCAAGAATCATCAATCGTCAACTTCTAAATCTCCAATGCAGATTCCAGGAAGCTGAGGATTGCTTCTTGGTTTTCTGGCTAAGATCAAGTGGAGAAAGCTGAGGAATGAGAAGGAGCGAGAGGCAGATTCCGTTCTTCCAGTGGCTACCGAGGCTGCAAACCCTTCCCATGTAACGTGTCAATGGCAACACTCCTCCCACGTGGGGCTTTTCAGTGAAAGATGCCAGAGGTGAGGAGACAGGAAAAACAACAATGAGAACTGAACTGACATTAATAATGTCTGACTTATTTCGCTCTTAGCATACACTAGGCACCATGATAAATTTTTTACATAGCTTAACCAAAATTCATCCACAGCCCCATGAGGCAGTTACAAGGTCCAACTTGTAGATGAAAAACTGAGGCATACAGAAGGTAAATAACTTGCCTAAGAGCAAAAGGAGCACACAGAAGCTATGGGGATCTGCACTCTTGCAATGTCCACTGTGCATGGATAGAATGCATGCAGAATGGTTTGTGAGAAAGCTTCCTCCTCCTCCTTCTCCCTGCCCCAGCTACTTCTCAGCCCACTTCTTTGTGGAGGTAGGAGAGGAGGGCCAGGTACCCTGCCACATGACCTGGACCTGTTTTTTGTCACAGGACCTTCTTTTCAGTGGGTGGTTAAAGCCCATGCATGGATCTGCCCTTTATCACTGGCATGGAATCAATGTTTGCACCCCAGGAGGGTCTATTCCAAGAATGCAGTCTCAGACTGGCTGCTTTCCTGTCCTTATGGACAATCCAAGATGAGGAATTACATTCACAGACAATTGCCTGAAATATGCTATGTTTTCCCTTCAGAGCACGTTGAATAATCAGAGAATGATGGATCTTGGCCACAGGTTTCAGACCTTTGTGGAGTCCTGCTTCAGCATTTGGCCATTCCCCTACATTGAGTGACACTGTGAGAAATAATTATGCACCAATACTGAATTTTATCTGTTGAAGAAACCATCTAGAAAGTCACATGGTATCTTCTTCATACATACCAAGTAGAGGACTTTATCTCTGGTCTGGTAAGTAAAATTTCCTGAACAAATGCTTGATTCTTTCCCATTAACCCTGTACATTTTATTTCTGAGTATGTTTCCCTTTACACTTTGGCTGCCAGGAATTTCTTACTTAAATTGCCAGCCTCTTCTAAGAACTACAAAACAGTATGGCAGGAATTATTCTGCATCAACCCAACCTGTGTTTGGATAATTTTCCTTATTCTTATTTTCATATTAATATGATTAGTTATTTCATTTCCTGTTTTGAATTTTTAAAAAATCTGCATAAACTAAAAAAAATCCATAATATTTTTTGAAGAATAAGGTAGGATAGAAAGCAAATAAAGAATAAGTCGAGAAAATGATATACTGAAGGTCACCAGTATAGCCAGGGCAGCAGATACTAAGCTCAGTTTTAACCAGATTGGGACCAGGTTAGAGAAGATTTACGATTTCCTAGGGAACACAAAATTTGATTTCCAGGATTTCCTTCTACAAACTCTGGTTCTGGAACCTTCCAAGGACACTATTACCTTTGCTGCGGCGGCGACTGCGGTACTGCTCCGTGTAGAACGTCAGCTGCGTTTCATCATCTGCCTCAGAGCCCGACGTCCCCTTGGCTCTCCCAAAGCTGATTCCCCCTGTGAGGAAGCACAATCTATCAGTCAGCCTTCCAGGCCTTCAGAAGTTTGTGAGATTCCTCAGCCATCCCAGAGATCAGCAACCCCATCCCCAGACCTCTCTCTGTAAATCCCAAGCCACCCAGGAGTCAGTGTGATGAATGGAAGGAGTTCATGCTCTGCAGTGAAGCAGATCTTGGGTCCAAGCATGGCTCAGCAGCTTCTGGGCTGTGTGACCTTGACGGGAAATCACGCCTTTCTGAGCCCTGGGTTCTGTCTTTCTAAAATAGGGATAAAACTATTCACCTTGTGAGATTGCTGTGAAGATTAAAGGAGATGTAATATATAAAATACCTGGTCTGCAGTACGTCTTAAATAACTGATAGCTATTGTTGCTTTTGGTGATAAGCAAACACTCTAGAAAACACTCTAGATAACTTAATTTTAACCAGATTTCAATCAAGTGCTTACTATGTGCCAGGTTCAGAGCAAGACTCTGGAGACACAACGATAAATAGGACTCAGTCTTTGCCAGGCAGGGGATCATAAGCTAGTCAGGAGGACAAATGGAATCCTAAGGAGGCTTAAACCTAATTCATGGCTTCTGTTTACCACTCAATGAGATGCTAGGAATATGGGGGAGTGCAATTCATTTCAGCACGGAGGGTCTGAGAAGGTTTTATGCAGGAGTGAAGATTTAAGTCAGGTCTTGAAGGATGGATGGGGCTGCACTGGTAGAAAAAGGAGTTCCAGCAGAGGTACCAGCTTGAGCACCCTCAGGAATGGGCCATATGGGCAGTCGGAGGCAACATTAAGTGGAGAAATGACTGGGAAGACACATAGGGAGAGGACTTGGGTGCCAAACGGAGGATAGGGAGCTTTACTTTGGATGTCATGGAAGGTTCTAGAGCAAAAGTATGAATTGACCAGCCATGGTGTGTACAAGGAAGAACACTCCAGTGGTACCTAGGCTGCAGGATGGGTGCGAGGCAGGGGAAGCAGCCAGGAGGCTCAGTGACCACCCAGGTGAATGGAGGTCAGGGCTTGCAGGAGGGCCTGTGTAGTGAGGGTGGGAGGAGGAGATGAGTGCAAAGGGTGCTTCAGAGACAAACTCAGAGGACTGTGGAAGGAAAAGGGCAATGCATTCATATGCTGTGAACGACAGATTGCAGAAAGGATAAAAAAGAAGGCTAAAAGCAATTGTGTCACAATACTAATAGTCATTAATTCCAAAGAGAGAAATATGGATATTTTTTATTTTTATCTTTGTGCTTTCTGCATTTTTAATTGCTAAAAAAAAAAAAAGACAGGATATGGAAAGAGAGGGATTAAAGGATTGGTAAATTATTTACTCCAGAGAAGAAATAACCAGGAGAGAGAGCCTCTGAGGATACTGGGCGTGAGTAGATGGGCACAGGAAAATAAGGACTTTGGTTTTTAAAATTGTTTCATTGATGGGGCTTCAGACATCTATGGTAATAGACTTTCTGGGAGGAGACTTAAGAATCTGGTAAAAATGGTTGTCCTGGGTGGAGAATTAAGTGGCTGAAAGATGGGAACAGAGGGAGGCTACTTTTCTCTATAAACTCTTTGCATCTTTTCAGTCAAGCACCATGCAAACCTATTACCTATTCGAAAATTTCAACTGAGGAAAAGAAAAACATATATTAGAAGGAAATGTTATTCAATTCACGAAAGGATTTATTATGTAATTTCCTCAGGTAGGGTATTTGAAATGGCATTCAGTATACAGAAATTCTACTTGCAGACACTTTTTCTGCAATATGGTTATTACACATTCATTCTTCTAGCAACATTGTTGCACAGTCTACTGTGTACCTAGAAGATTTGTAGACATTATTGTAGACAATCATCATCATGATATACTCATAAGAGTGGTGTAATTAACAAACTAGATTATAAAGCAAAGATGCAAAGACATGCTTAGGCAAAGTTACTTGCATAGTCACACAGCAGATGACTAGGAGAGTTAAGCTTTGAGGCTAGTCTGTCCAACTCCAAATTCGGTCTCTCTGTAATACAGGCATTGTTTTCCTTAAAACCACTCATGAGTGAACCCTGAAAGAGCAGATCATCCTTTGAGTGTCAAGGCACTAAGTACGGCATTCAGAGCTTTGTACACAACATCTCATTCATACTACTGAATTCATAATACCCTTAGGAGGGAGGCCTCATTGTGCCTACTTTACAGATGAGGCAAGTGACGCTCAGAAAAGAAAAATGATTTGCTAATAATGAGTGAAGGTGGACTTTGAAACCAGGTGGAACTAATGCCCAAGCTCAAATTTCTCGTCACTTATGATGCTGCGTCTCGATTTCAGGGTCTGTAAAATTGAAAGATTAATATCTGCCTCCCCACACCCATTCTTCCCTGAGACGGTATGTTCTAATGAGTGGGAAAGTACAAGGACAACAACATTTGATCTTTGTCCCAAATGTGTCATCAGGCAAGGTCTGTCCCAGAGCCTTAGTGCACACTTTCCCCAATCCCCAGCAACTAAAAGCAGAGCCTGGAGACATGAGGAGACTTCAGATTCTGCCAGATTCAGTCCTCCATTTAAAGGCTCTGCTTTGAAATGGAATTGGCAGGGAGCTCATGGAGAATTTGGAAGTTACTAGAGAGCAGAGGTCCCCAGAAGCCAGCAGGGCTTTTAAAATTGCCATTAAAAGATTTTACTGTTAAAAAAGAAAAAAAAAAAAAAAAAGAAGAAGAAGAAGAAAGAAGAAAGAAGAAAGAAAAGAAGGGAGAAGAGCCAGGCGTGGTGGCTCACACCTGTAATCCCAGTACTTTGGGAGGCCAAGGTAGGCAGATTGCCTGAGCTCAGGAGTTCGAGACCAGCTTGGGCAATGTGTGAAACCCCGTCTCTCCTAAAATACAAAAAATTAGCCAGGTGTGGCAGCGTGTGCCTGTAATCCCAGCTACTTGGGAGGCTAAGGCAGCAGAATTGCTTGAACCGGGGAGGTGGAAGTTGCAGTGAGCCAAGATCGCACCACTACACTCCAGCCTTGGTCACAGAGCGAGACTCCATCTCCAAAAAAAAAAAAAAAGGGAGGGAGGAAGACTTCTGTTCATCTATACGTAATTCTTGGCCAAAGGGAAAATGAAGGCATCTGATAAGGTCATTCTCTTATGTTCAGAAAACATCTGCCATACTTTCCGCTGTGTCTGGAGCCACAGAGCAAAAACGAGGGGTCTATCCCTGTTAGGAGGCCACCTCAGACTCTTCTCACAGCCCACACTTTGAAACATTTCAGCAAAATTCTTACCCCCTTCCTTCCTTCCAATCTCTACTTTATCCTAAACACATGACCTTGTATATCCCTACCATGGTGAACAAATCTGGCGTACAGGAATCAGACATTATTTTTTCCCTACTGGGGCAAGATAGAGAGAGTGACCGAAAAGTCACCAGGCAATTCTAATATAAGAAAAGCTAACACTGGCATAGCACAGTATCTCTTCCAGGCACTATTCTAAAGACTTTACATGCGTTGACTCATTTCATACTTTTTTTTTTTTTTTTTTTTTTTTTTTTTTTTGAGACGGAGTCTCGCTGTGTCGCCCAGGCTGGAGTGCAGTGGCCGGATCTCAGCTCACTGCAAGCTCTGCCTCCCGGGTTTTTACGCCATTCTCCTGCCTCAGCCTCCCGAGTAGCCGGGACTACAGGCGCCCGCCACCTCGCCCGGCTAGTTTTTTGTATTTTTTAGTAGAGACGGGGTTTCACCGTGTTAGCCAGGATGGTCTCGAACTCCTGACCTCGTGATCCGCCCGTCTCGGCCTCCCAAAGTGCTGGGATTACAGGCTTGAGCCACCGCGCCCGGCCAGACTCATTTCATACTTACAAGAACATAGGAGGTAGGTTACTACATTTATTCCCATCTCAACTGGTGAGAAAATGAAGGCACGTGGAAATTAAATATTTTGTTCAGGGTCGCAGCTTGCAAGTAGTAGAACCACAATTCAAATTCAGACAGTGGTAGGTAAATCTATTCCTTTTTTACAATGCTGGTTTACAATAAAATATGAACAAATACTTTGTTTACAATGTCCACAGTCATCCTATAAGGACTGTATCATGAGTTATGGTTTTATAGATGAATAACTGTCTCAGAGGGGTGATATGAGGTAGTAAGTGGGAGAAACAGGATTGAAATTTGGTCTGTCTACCTGCAAAGCTTGCCTCATACCTAATACAACCAGGGAAAGTATGTGTGTCTGTGCCTATGTGTGTACACACACATGCCTGCATATGGATGTAGAGGGCTGACAAATGCTTGATATGTTGACCATTAAGGATTAGCAGTTCTCTTACTTGACTCCAACACCTGGACCTGTTTTCTTGTAGGAACTCTAATCAGGCTTAGCAAGATCTTTGTGACTCCCTCATCTTTCCACATGTCCAGGCACACAGAGACCACACCCCTATAACTACCATAAGGGTTTCTATAAAGGCTTTTCCCTTCGGGTCAACCCTCCATTTCCAAACTCTTCTGACCTTTACTCCCTTCTTGTAACTATTAAAGTACCATGTGTTCAGAGTGAAAACTGAGGCTCAAAAACAATGTCTATAAACTCGGTTCAATAGAAATATAATGCAAACCACATATGCCATTTTAAATGTTCCAGTAGCCCCATTAAAAAGATAGAAATAAAAGTTCAAATGAATTTCCAGGATATGTTGCATTTCACTCACTATATTAAAATATTATGTTAATGTGAAATTAACATAAAGTTATTACTAAAATATTTTATATATTTTTCATAAGTCTTCAAAACCCAGTGTGCATTTTGTGATTATAGCACATCACAATACAGACAAGCCACATCTCAGGTGCTCACCATATTGGAGAACACAGTTCTAGACACATTTGTACAACAAATATTACTGAGCATAATTAAGGGCAAGGATCTGAGTACAGGATGAAGATGAATAAGCCACGACCGCCAGTAAAATGTTAAATCTTAAAAAACAATTTGGATTTTTGACCTGGATGAAAAA